TACGATACCGTTCGACCTCGTATCAAGGATCAACCGTACCTACGACTCCGTAACGGGTATCAACCGTACCCACCCGGAACCCACGGCTACCTTTATCTACATCGCATACCAGATGTTCATCAAGCTGCTTCAACTCTGCGGTTTAGAATCTGTGATAAAGACTTGCCACCTTTGGAATCGTTCTCCAAAGGCAGGGACCTCGTCATGCCCAAAGGTGTTCCCTGGGAGATGAATATGTGGCAACTTATGGATCACCATGGCGTTGAGAACGTTTTCGAGGGCCTCCTCGACAACGTCATATCACCAGAGGTTCTACAGCAATTTAAAGACTTCGAGAGTCTCAGGGATAGAGATTTCCAGCTGCAGCTACACTCCCATACTCTCATTTCGACAACCATTCAGCGTCATGATGAACCGAACAGCTACCACTCTCAGCTTTGTTAACCTGGCTGATCGTATCTTTTTGCGTGCTGTAGTTAACACGTCAATAATGGAAAGCGAAGGTGGGTTTTTCTTTTCTCTTCATCTTCGAATCCTTAACGGACGAATAGTGTCAGATTTGCGGGGCGAAGGAAATGTGTGTACGATGTGCCTAGACTACGATCCAGAGGGTGGAAGCTCTGAGAACAGCATCGTGTTAAGGGTTCTACAAATACCACAAGAGCTTCGAGGAAAAACACTCTACAATGAGGGCGATACTATGCCATTCATAGCCGTCCATCGGAATAATGGACGGTCCAACTTACTCAACGCCTTGCTTCGACAGTCACCGTCATTATCCTCTTCCTAATCGGAAAACTGATCTCACTATACTAAAGATTCAGACTTAACGCTATGGCTTAAATCAATCGCCTGGCGTAGCAGATGAATTTGCGAAGATGAATGAGCCTGAAAAGTCGGCAAGGTCAGAGGAATAGCCTAAGGAATGGAAGTGTCTATACCATCGGGAAGAAGCCAGGCATCGGTGTTGAACTTGAGCGGAGGCGGAAAACCTGGCGCGGCTTGTAGCAGTACGGGTATGCGAGAAGAGGCAGAGGGGTACTCTGAGACGATGATGACGGTAAAGCGATAGGATCGGATTATTTACTTAGTAACTACATTGTAGGTAAACGGGGCAAACAATCAAAATGATACGAGGCGGATGTTTCTCCGGTTAACCACTGCGAAAATCGAGTTCTTAAACCACGTACGGAATATTCCCGTACTTGTGTCGCACAAGCTCAAATCTCCAGTAGTATCCCCCGATGTTTCCAATATCTACTGCCAAGTCATGCAATGATAAGACAAATACCGATACTTAGCTAGCCTTCATTCTGTCTGCATTCACCGCAATATTGATAATGGACGGCGGCTCGAACCTTTACATTATCCAATTGCCAAGAGGTTCGTCTGAGATAACAGCTCGATACTTGTACCATACTGGAATTCGTAGGATCACTGGATGTTAAAACGTTAACTTCCCGTGTGCGACGCTTCTGTGCACGACAACAGCATTTGAAACATTTACATTCACATTCTCTACACCAACTTGAGTAGGTCTCCTAGTACTCCCATCGCAGTCACTGCAGCGCCAGCCCCTGCGCCCTGGACAATCAGCGGGCGCGGGCTGTACCGCTCCGTGTGGAACATGATAATATTATCCGATCCGCCAAGAGAAGTCGCGAACGGATGCGAGGTGGGATACCTATACGCGATTCATCAATACCAAACCAAACCTCCTAGAAAAGAAAAGAAAAACACGTACTTCTCCAACCCAGCTTTCACTTCACCTTTAACGCCATCAACGACACCAACGAATCTCAGAACCATGCCTTCTTCGCTTGCCTCCTTGCGCATCTTGTCAAAGTCCGAGTCGAACTCTGGGAGCCTCTGGAGGAACTCATCGCCTGTGGGGATGCCTTCGAGCGCCGCGGGGATGAGAGACGCTGTTTGGACAGAGGCGAAGGATTGCAGGGAGGGCAGTGATGCTGCAGACCCGATAGTGCGGGAGAGAATCGTAAGCTTTCGGGCGACATCGAACCCATTCAGATCGTCGGCTGGGTGAGGTTCCTGTGTCGTACAAATATCAATTCCTACGTATGAAGTCAGAAAGATAAATAGATAACAGACCGTATACCCCTTTTCACGAGCTACGCTGACGACAGAGGAAAAGCTGGGGCCTTCGGAGGACCCAGTAGAAAACTCGTTGAAGATGTAGCTCATTGTGCCGGAGAAAACACCTTCGATCTTCTTGACCTTTTCTCCACTCAAATTAGCGATGGACACACACCGTTGTTCAACGGCTTGCTTACCTTGTCACCAGTAGCCACTAGTTCCTTCAAAGTCGATATAACAGGCAACCCCGCGCCAACAGTCGACTCATTCAAGAACCGCGCGCCGCTTTCGTTGCTTGCGCTCACGATCCGCTCGTATAGCCCAAGGTCTCCAGAATACGCCTTCTTATTCGGCGTGATCACGTTGATGCCGGCTTTGAGCCATACGGGATACAGCGCAGCTATGTCTTCCGAAGATGTATTATCAACGATAGCGACTTTCGTCGAGGAGGATATCAGCGCAGACAATTTCTGCGTGAGGGTTTCGAAGTTGGGTTTTTCGTTGCTTGCGGATAGGATGGATTTCCATTTCGCGGTGGATGTTATCGCTTGGGCTGGGTCCAGGAAGACGGAGCGGGAAGAGGAGGAGAGGGAGATGAGGCGGAAGGGGGAGGATTCGGTAGGGATGGATAAGAGCTGGTGGATGAATTCAGAACCGACGAGGCCGACGCCGACTACGGCGACGAGCATTTGGGGTGATTTTTTTTGCGCAGACATGGTGGCAAAGGCCAGAGTGTGTTTTGGAAGTGCATTTTGCAAAAAACGTTGGCGCCAGATCGATGCCATCAATTGGCGCCCTTAAGTCGTGCGCGTCTACGCATGATGATAGATTTATATTACAGTCACTAGCTGAAGTATTGAAGAGCATCCATGAAGTAGTTGCACTTCTCAACGGAAGAACCCTGAACCTCGGACTCAAGGTCTCATCGGCACCCCTCACTTAGTACAAATCTAATCCGCACTTTTCTGCACGATGGACGCGACTGAGCAAGTGTTTCCACTCGCAACATTGCCGGTAATGGTGTGGGGCTGCAAAACATAGTCAGGCTTGGAGGAAGCGATAGGATACTCAAGAGTAGCGACATACATAGGTCCCGAGACCTGGAGTATTACCGCACCAACCAGAGGCAGCCGTAGTAGCAGTGACCTTCACGTTTTTCTGTTCAATCGGAAAGAAAATCAGCGTGCAATCCGTTTCGGATAGATATGACAAACGTAGGTGATGGGACCAAAGTTGAAATCGACGTCGTACAACTACGGTTCATGTATTAGGATGTGATTAGTGCCGCAGAACAAGAAAGGTGCGCACCTCTACAGCAAAGATCGCTCTGGTTATGGTACAAGTTAGCAACACTCATGTACTTTAAAAGGTACGAACCTATTCATGGTACTTCCAGTGATATTGAGAGTAGTAGATGCAGACAATCCACCGCTAGACAACGTGCAGGTCCAGGTCGTTCCCGACTAGCGTGCGATGGATCAGCAAAGATAATGCACTAGCATAGCACTTACGGAAGAGAAGCTAAAATGAACGGTAGCACCAGGGTTGACATTGAATCCGTTTCCCCAAGGTAGCGATGGCGTGCCGAAGAACCCGTCACCTAGTATGTACACAGGCGTTAGCTTGCGGTTGCAGCATAAAGCAATAAGGTAATTGGAATCCTTTACCTATCCACCAAAGACCACTGGACCCATCGAGCACAGCTTGCAACACCCCGTTACCACTTTGCACGCCAGGCCACACATACGGGGTGCCTAAGATAAGTGAATATCAGGATACTGAAGCAGGGGTCTTAAAATTGCGAGAGTACACGCCTCCTGGTGTAGGCAATTCGGGAACAATCATATCGCCGGACATGGAGACGAATTCGCTAAGTAGAACAACTATGAAACCAAACCGAAAGCATCACAAGCTAGAGGACAAAACCGTACGGTGCATCCCATTCTACGGTGTACCAGTCCTGCGCGGTGACCACCTTGAAGAAGAGAGAGAACAAGAAGAAGATGGTAGCAGCTAGAGGAGATTTCGGAGCGAACATTGTATATTGCAGGCTTGAAGACTCGGAGAGTAAAGGAAATCAGTCGGATTTTATATGTTCGAGCTGGAGAGGAGCTACGGGGATGATCCGCGTGAAAAGATGGATACAGCGTTGTCACGAATCAGCTGAAGGTATGAAAAGCTATCGAGTTCAGAAGATAGTCCGAAGAAGATTTGCAACCACATGTTGTATATATCGGAGCCGTATCTTCAAAGCTTCAAGTCCCGAGCCAAGCAACCGCAGTACAGCTGGGCTTTCGTGGCGGCGTTATGAATCTCGCTGGAGGAGGACTTGAACCTCTTTGAAGCTTGAAACTCGAACCTTCTTGGATCTGCAGCAGGGTCGGGAAGACTAGAGCAAGCTTTTGAACTTGGGAAAAATACCGGATAAAGTCGTCTGGGCGGAATGGTTTAGAGTCCTCGTGTACGGGGAACAGATGCGACTACACGCAACAGATGGAATTTGTCACGGTGATTTGTCCAGCTTTGCCGTGTATGCTGAAGCTGCGACGCTGTAAGTACTTGGGATCATCAAACAAAAGTTTGAACACGTACCTGTAATTAAGTAAGCTGTAGTGGTCATAGGGGCAAGACACATTAATATTGGCTCGACCTAAGCCTAGTTGACATTCTTCTTCATCCAATCTTGCAACCTTGGTAGCGAAAATGTCAAATCAGATTGACGAATCTGACCACGAAGACTCAAGCTCAGTCAAGAACGAAGAGGTAGAAAAATGGTACTTACGTATCGGGTGATCATGTATTCCTGATAGAGTGAAATTTTGTACTTAGTTCGAGTTGAGAAAGAACCCAAGAAAAGCCTTTAAATACGTGTGGACAGTCCCCTCGGCTATTTTTGCTGTAAAAAGCTCCTTGGCTGGGAGTTGAACCCAGCTTTCCCGCGGTACATATGCAGAACACTGTTTACATGACAAGCGGGTGTACTAACCGATATACGACCAAGGATACACTAATATGCCCATGATTTACATAAATATGAATACTTTTCCGTCTCGTTCCTGAGCATGTGACCGCTGTGGCAAGCTGTCTTTTGTGAGTTTGCGTTACAACAGGTTACAACCTTGAACCCACACTCAATTCGCCCAATACGCTATACGTTGGCACAAAGAAAAGTAACGGCTCAAATAACGTGGACACGAAAAGAGACAGCATGATCCCCGAACTGACTCCGATGTCGAGGAGTTTTGCAATTACATTCTACCGCCGCTGCATCACTTATTGAAGAAAAGGAAGCTTGGGCACGTCTTGGACACCTTGAGAGAGAAAGATGAATGGAACGAACAGCGATGGACGGTATCTTTGAAAAAAGCTGTAGCAATGAGCGCTGAGCGCTGAGCGGTCATGCAACAGCTGCATTCAACTCGATGGCGGATATCTTTCGCGCCGTCATCGAGGCAGCGAAGGAAGATAGTCAAGGGGTTAGGGATTATTATCCAGAATTGGGATATGCGCATCTGCTCAGCCACACTACTCTATTAGTATTGAGTTCAACTTTATGAAGGTATGGCGATAACCATAGATTCAGTTGTCGCCTTCCTCACTCCCATCCTTTGCCGTAGGAGCTAGGATTTTTGATACAACGCTTTATTTCGCTTGCCTTCGCACCTCACCAAGATGGGATGGGATCCTACCATCCTTCTCCCATGTTGATGGCAGCTGTAGATAGTACACTATTGAAGCGGACGGGAAAATCTACACCACTATTTCCATCAGTATATCAGACTCTTCCTTCTGCAGATAGTCCTCTTGGTCGGGGTACTCGAATCTGGAAAGTTAGAGATAGCGAGGGTGAAATTCGGGTTCTGAAAGATCTATGGCTTGAATAAGCGCCGCAATCGAAAGCGCTGTTGGCTAACCTGTCGAAAATCACCCTGATCCCCGTCAAAGAACTTGCACAGGATCCTCCACAAGATAAGAAGCGAAAGGACACGTCTCTCGATTTGGAACCCAAGGTCAAGAAACCAAAGTAAATGATTTTTTTGCGTGGTTTTCATCGGTACTGACGTTTTTTTTAAATTCTAGAACCTAGCTGTCTTCACACAACGAATTCGTTATTAGATCTTGAACCGGGAGTAAGATCTTTCGTTTCTTTTCAAGTTGCTTTGGCTTTGCTTTATTTGCGACAGATCGCGTAGCAAGAGCATAGATGCCTATGCCACCGTCGAAGGCTGCGTTCTTCCTCTTACTAAATATATGTGCCCTGTTCTCTCATTGTCCTCGAAGCTCTGAATCTCCCGGTCTTGTCATTGTACCTTAATGTTCATTGTCTCGTAGTATAACTATCACCTCTTTGAGTTTAAGCATGGGCTGGGCTCTAAACCAACTTCACATTCATGGATGAATACTTGTCTCGTTTCCAGTGCATTTGGCAACAGTCAGCTACTTGCAGTGATCGAATTAGTTGCCCTATTTAGCACACGGTCCTCGCATACTTTCTTTGACCTAGTGCATATCAGTCGTAAGGGAATTTGACTGGCGTCTTTGTCCTTGTTTTTTTCCCGTATTTCAAAGTCTTACAAAATCGGATTTCTTACCCCCTGAAGTTGTGGAATCGCGGTCATCCAAGGTCGATCGTGCTTGGAGTGGCGGAGAAGTAAACTGCTTAGGTATCTGTCTCTTGTCTTCCGATACACATCCTGATTTTCTGAAGCATTGGAAGCCGGGATTCTCCACAAATGACTCGTCAATGGAGCTGAGAATGTTGTTGGACAACAATGAGAAGCGACATAGATTTGCCTTTCCCGGGAGAAGTTTTTGATGCCTTTTCGAGACGCCCGATTGTACAATATTTGGAAAACAATGGTGATAAACTTGAAGACCTACCAAATTAAATTTCAAACTCTTGCAGGTATTAGGAGGATATAAAGGGGATCGAAGGGACAGAGACTCTATCTTTCTCGCCCTTGATATCTATACAGCACAGTTCAATTCTCTTAACTCTACTCTTGACGATGAACAACCGGACCGATAGTGTGCCTCCATCCCACGTGACCGCGTCTGGTGGCAGCGACTCAACCACCACGACGTAAAACCAATCCTCCCAATACGCCGGCAAGGGGAAAGGAAACCAGCTCCTCCGCTTTTCGTAGCTCAAGTAACGTGAAGGTGAAAAGAGATAATGTTTTGAAGACCTTACCCACCATGATCCCAGAAGTGTCGGTCGAGGAGTTTTGCACCCACATCTTACCGCCACTCCCTGAGGCGTTGAAGAGAAGGAAACTTGTCCAGGTCCTGGCAACCCTGAAACACGAGGAGAAATGTAAGGATCGGGGTTGGTCTGCTTTCCCTAAAGAACCTGCAGCGAGGAGCGAACACGAAACAATAGTTTTCAGACCACTGGCAGATATCTTTCGCGACGTTGTCAATGCGGCGAAAAAGCATGGAGAAAACGCTTTAGAGCAAACTTTTAACCTTGCAATGCAGCCGTATGCGGCTCAGGACTCGGATTTAGGACCTGGGTCGCGTCCTGACATCATCTTCGAACGTATATCTTTGAAGTCGACACACGGGGGGAATACCAAAGGCAAGGGGAAGGCAAGACAACCTACTACGGCGGATCAACGAGATGCAGCTAATTCTTATCTCATTTATCACCATACTGTTCCAGTTCAGGCTAAAAAGCTGAATGTACCTAACAACGTTGACGACGTAAGTGTAATCTCGGTGCGATGACCTTTTCTAACAGTGTATCATTACAGGATGCTGTGAAGGTAGTCTATGATATGTCCACGATTCTGAGATTGGATCCCTGTAGGCGCTTCACATTTGGAATCACCGTCGAGAATTGCGAAATGCGGATTTGGTTCCTTAGCCGGGCTGCGCTCCTGAAATCTAAACCGTTCGATTTTATGAAGGTAGGGCCTATATTATAGTAGTTGTCGCCTTCTCATTGTATTCCTTTTCTATAGGAACCACAACCGTTAATCCAACTCTTTCTTTCATTTGCGTTCGCTTCCCCCTCTAAGATGGGATGGGATCCTACGATTAGTTTCTCCCATGTTGACGAGGGTCGTAGATAATACACCATCGAAGTCGAAGGGAAAGTCTACACCACTATCTCCATTATATTGGACTCTTCCGCGGACAGTCCTTTTGGTCGCGGAACCCGAATCTGGAAAGTCAAAGACCGCAAAGGCAAAATTCGTGTTTTGAAAGATCTGTGGCTCGAATTTGACCGCGTGCCAGAACATGAAATCTTGGAGCGCATCATTGACGACATCAAGAATTCAGGTGAACCTACCGCTGACAAGATGGTTGAAAGTTTTCACCAACGAACCCTCACTCCCCTCGCATTCTGCAAACTTGCTGTTGACGGCGAAACCGACGATACGAAGAGTGTGATGATGGGTGGATTCGACTTAGCAGGTCAGCCGGTAGTCGAACTTGTTACTGCCCAGACTCCTGCTTCCGCCTCACGACAGAGTGTTGGTCCTAGCTTACCCTCTGATAGGGATCATCCTTCTCAGTCCCGCACTTCCGAGTCTACTACCTTGGCCAGCTCGACCCGTTCGCACATCCCACCTCGTCGACCGCTTGTTCCAGAACAATCCGTTCACAGTCGAAGGTACCACTACAGAATTGTCTTCGAGCAGTACGCCACGACAATCTATAACGAGCGGAGCATGAGCAATGTTATCACCACTTTGGGGGACGTTGTTATCGGTGTGTTAGTTCCCTCTTAACATTAGAACCCCACTTAATCACTTTCACCATAGCGCTTTTGATCATGCACAAAGTTGGCTGGGTCCATTGAGATATCAGTGGTGGTAATGTTTACTGGTGTTCAGAACGAAGCAAAGGCCTCCTCGCCGATTTTGAGTATTCCCGGAAAGCGACAGATGATACTCGTCATCACCAAGTGCGCACTGTAGGTGATTGCACTGCTTCCTCGGAACCACTGCTGAATGATTACAACAGGGAACTCCATTTTTCATGGCTTCCGAGGCGCTCTGTCACAAATATCTGTTTAATCTACCAGAAGACCCGCCCAAAACGAATGGTCCTAAGCTTACCATGCTATTGGACTTGCTTGATGCCCCGGAAGACCCGTTCTTTCAAACTCTGGTCCTACCCATCGTGCTATTTTTGCTTATAACCCCTTGCATGATCTCGAGTCTGTATGGTGGATTCTCACATGGGTATTCTTTTTCAACGAAGACGTGGCCCATGCAGCTCCCGACCGTCAGATTCGCCAAGCTCGGATGGACCAGCTTTCAATGGGGATATGCGAACCTTAACCGTCTGGCTTTCTTCAAGGATCGTTCGGACTTGGAAGCTGTCGCAGAATACATGTCCCCACTTTTGCACCTGCCTTCACAATTCTCTTAGACCTTTCTGGATTTCTGAATACTGCTTATCATTGCAGAGAATAATTACCCCACCATTGCGTTCAAGATATTCTTATAAAAATTCGGTTTCTTTCCTTGCTTTGTCTACCAGAGTCATGATTGCGTGCACTAGCTTTAGGGTCGCCAGATCATCGTGAGATTCGAGATGAGGTCCAGTAGCTCTGTCGGAGGTTCAACTTCCAACGAATCGTAGGCGAAGAGTAAGATTACCTACCCAATACGTTGTTTATTCATGAGTTCCTATATTTAAAAAAATCGATAGATGTGAATTGCCCCGCCTTTCTTCATCATCCTCCCTCACCAGGATCTAGAGCATCTCCAACACACCGGCTGATAGCTCAAGCTTCAAGTTTGGGCACGGAGGGCTGCTTGCATCACTCCTTTCTTCGAATCATGATATCGTCCGGCAAGTCCATTCACAATCTCCAAAGGGATGCCAGCAATCTAGGTTCTGTCAGGAAGTTCAACAGAAGACTCCAAAGACGTCGTTGTGCAAGTGAGAATTTCCATGTCCCCGTACGATGTAGATTTTGCAGTCAGTGTAGTAGGATTTCTTCAAGATGTTGTTTAGGTATTGCCGTCCTTGGGCATTCAGTC